AACAAATTAAAAGGAAGAGAGTAAAACAAGTCTACATTCTGGCGCTCTGATATTAAAAACAGCTCTTGGCTTTAGCCCATTTTCCGCTTGCCTATAAACAAAATAGAGCTTTGGCGCACTTGATTCGAACGGTGACGCTCAGCGATGACAATTCCCGGTGCACACCGAATCCGTAACCATTACGGCGTTACGGCGTCAAAAAATCGAACTACGCATGCGCGTTACATTGTGCCCTCCACTTTCGAGATATTTTTTAATCGCCACCGTATTCATTACGGAACGTAACGGTCATTACGGATCCGGTGTGAACCACGCATAAAACTCAAAAAAGTTAACCAAGCTCATCCATATTCGAATCAGGGCATTTTTTTTAGAATAGGTGTAAAAAACATTACCTTGAGGTCATTGGAAGTTTCGTTGCAATATACTCCTTTCTGCGCGTCTTATTAGGAAAGCCCCATGGGGTCAATGGTGGATCCCTCTGCAGAGGGATCCACCCTCTGCAGAGGGATCCACCATTGACCCCATTTCCCCTATGCAGGCAGGTCCGAGGGTAGCAGGGCTGAGGCTAGCCAGGTACCTCGTAGTTACTGATAGGTACGTCATCGGAAGAATCGACTGCAACCATTATTTTGACAATCAGACGAACGCTTGGGTCAGTTTTGACGCGTTCGCTCATTTGAGGGATAAAAAGGGACTAGAATCATATTGTCACGCTGATGTTCTCAGGGTATATAGAACAACGGGTACACCAACGACGCGGAAAGCGCCAATTTTACCTGGTTGAGTTACATGGTAGGTGATATATTTTTTGAATATGGAAAAAATAGAGTATTCCGTTCTGACGAGTAAAGCCAAATTCATAAAGCAGTTATTTTTTAATTATATGTACCAGAAATAACATACTAACCATTGTTTAAAACTTAGTCTAAAGTTAGTCGAAAAGTGTATAGTTGACACTAAGATGGAAGGAATCAATGGAAGGCAGAAATGGCGCAGCTGTTTCATTCTTAAAACGTGTTCGCACGCAGGGTTTACGTGATGCTAGCGACATCTATGAATGCAATCGGGGATGCTGATTGGCCGATCGAGTCCGTGAGCAGTATCACTAATTTACGATAGTACAGGGTTGAGGCAAAGTGCGCATGCGCAGGAGCTTGTGCTCTCATGGAGGGGCTTTTGGTACCTCGGGCAGCGCCCAATGCTTTTTGGACCTGTTATGGCCTCCGCATCGAAAAACGCTAGATAGAAAGGTTGTAGAGGAAGCTTGAGGCTACCTTTCCCCACAATAATATTGGCACTTTCTCTTTTAGCTTACGTATGGGGCTCGCTTGAAAAAGGTCGATTTTACATGGAAACCCAATGGGGTAGTAGGTTTTGAGCGCCCATTTGGCCTAATGCTACCAACTGTTACTGGCTACCCCTGGATGTTCTAGCCCACAGCTTATTGACCTATAAGCAATAGGGACTAGGGAGCTCTTGAAGCGATTCTGAATCTGACGTTGTATTTGTTGATGTTGCTGACGCCAACTTCCCTGGCATGATAGCTAAAAAAAAGCATACTCAGCATCGCCAAAAGTGGGGGGGTCGACCCCCCCGGTTCTGACGAGTGGGGGGGTCGCGACCCCCCCGACCCCCCCGTCGGCGACGCCCCTGTATATGATAAATGTTGATGAGATTGAACTTGGACGGTACTATAAAATGTTCGCTAATAATTGAGCAAATTGAACGAATCTATGCAAAATCCGACATTTACGAATCCCAGTGTACCGCAAATCCGATGGCCTGAACTGCCCTTGACTTTATAACTCAGCATTTAGAATCACTGATATAAAACAAAAAAAAAAAAAATTGAAGCTACAACTATACACAGTATACAGTATACATACAAATGTCCCTGTCTATACAAAAAATGCGTTGAATTTATCTAATGCGATCATCTTGACCGTACTGATTGGCCAGTATATGTTGTTGACTATACATAAGTTGGCCGGATACATTTTTAAGAGACAGCTGTTCAGTGTTCACTACTCCCGGGGTCACTATAACCGGCTACTGTTCATGCTGACCGGATATGAGGTTATAGTGGACCCGCGGCCGACTACTGTTATGAAAAGCTTTGTCGTTCAATTCAATTTGTTATGAGCCGTAACAAGGAACCGTTTTTTGCGATTGCGGGAGCCTCGGTTGAGAGGCTGTTCTCGATACCTACTGGCACACATTTCGACAGTTTTACCTTCATCTTTGAAGTGCGTACTCCAATACGCTACACCGAGCACTAGAGGTCACTTTCCGGCATTTTTTCTCGTGTTTCACGGAAAGTTTCAAAGCTGTCACCGGCAATGTGGTAAAAAATAAGCTATGGCATGGTCCGATTTTGCCGATTTATAAATAGAAATGAGATCAGACGATTCCACTAGAACGGAAACGCTGTAGTGGGAGATGAAGAAAGAGAAAAGATGAATGCCGTTATAAAAATATCGCTAGGGGAGAATGCATCGACATTCTTCGTGTATGCTATGCCTTCATGGAAAGTCGGCATCTACCATTGATTTCGATCTGCGTAGCAGCATAATTATTTATTGTTTGGAAAACGATATTTATCGGTTGGAAAACGATTTCATACTTGGCCAGCTCATTTTTCTAAATCCGTACCTCACTGTATAATGCCTACGAGTATATGCACCAATGTGATGTGGCAACTCGCATCAGTCCTTCACAATACTGTGCAATGTATGATTGCCTGCGGCTGCGGCCACCGACACGGTGCGGCCGGTGCGGCAGGTGAGCGGCCCCACCGCACTGGAGGCCCTGGAGACGCTGCTGGCGATGTCCGCGCGCCAGCAGCCGGCGCTGCTGGAGCCGCTGTGTCCGGCGCTGCCGTCGGCCGCCGTCCGACTGCTGCGCACCTGCTGCGCGCGCCGCGATCAGCTGCTGCTGACCGTCTACCGGCGCGCCACGGGCCGCGCGCAGCTGGGCGTGGGGCCGGCGCGCCGCCAGTTCGCCGCCGTGCTGGCCGACGCGCCGCTGCTGGCCGCCGGCGCGCTGGCCGCCGCTGCGTTCCTGGTGCGCCGCGCCAGCAGCGAGCCGGTGCTGGTGCTGCTGGCCGAGCTGACGCTGATCCCGGCCGAGGACCTGCGCCAGCTGACGGAGGTGGTGCTGGTCGACCTGCTGCCCGCCAGCGCCCTCCGCCAGCGCTAACACTGCCTCCAGAACGGCAGCCTAGCTGGCCGACCTGCCGCCCGCCAGCGCCCGCCAGCGCCCTCCGCCGCTGACAGCACGGTGCGATAGCTCGTGAGCGCGGCAGCCGGCCGACCTGCTGCCCACAGCGCGCTGCGCCGCTGATCGTACGGCAGCATGACAGCCGGCCGGGCGGACGGGCGGCTGGCGAGCGGATATTAGACCAACCTGAGAACTACTGAGTGCGAACCTGAATGCGGTAGCGAATTAGTGCTCTGCCGAAGGGCTGATCTCGCTACATTGTTCTGAACTGAATGGCGGTGATTGTCTGCTCTGTTTTCGATGCAAGATAACCATTTATTTACGTGCTGATGATGATACCGGCAATGGCTGATTCTCTTTAGCCGTTTGTATAGGCCTTAAATCGTGAGCTCTATCCGATAACATCTGAACACTTGTCGGCTGTGGTTGAAAAATATGCTTCCAATGTGACTCCGTCTGTGATATAACGGCAACCCGTGTCTCAGTGATGTGCCCATCACCGTGTCTCTGTGACTTGTTCGTATTTCGGTGATACGTCTGTGTCTCTGACAGTTGCCCGTATCTCCGCAATTTGTCCGTGCCTCTGTGATTTGCCGATGTCTTCGTGATTTGCCCGTGTCGCCGTGATTTTCATGTGTCTCCGTTATGATACCTGTCTCCGTGATTTGCCGCTGTTCATGACTTGCCGACGTCTCCTGACGTCGCTATGCGATGATACTGGAGAAATTAGGCCCCACTGATCTCGGAAACAGAGTCCCTGTTGTGCAGTGTTTGACCCCTGTTTCCCGACGTCGCTCAGTTGTTGAGACTCGCAGTTGTAAACGATTACCTCCGTGACGACGACATCTTGTCGGCCCAGATTATTCGCATGTACCTATTATTTATTTTGTTTGCCAAGTGATGCAACTTTATTATGCCCAGCAAGCTGTTGCAGCTTGCACACACTCGTTTCGATTTGCTATGGCGGTGTGCTTTGATTTTGTTGTTTACATTATTGCCGCTATCATAGGTAACAGTTGTTTTGTTGTTACGTTTAATCGTTGTGATCTGCGCTGTCTTCTGGTTTAGAACAATGATGAATGTTATTGTTTGCATACTATTCAGTGTTCACATATTATTTAAAAAGTCCGCATTTATCAATAAATGTTATTTCCCGCTGTGTATGCCTGTGCGTTACATTCGAGCTCTGTTCGAACCGCGAACGATTTCAGTCCGTTTGGGTACCTACACGTTTTTAAAAGCCCGGGCTCGGGCTCTGGCTTCCACCGCTGGGTAAATGCGTCGTATCCACAAATGTCAGTAGCAGTATTCTAGCGTGAGCTGGTGTTCAACAGCTATTTATAGGGATCGATGCCCTTTTCTATTTCACATCGAATGTCAGGTACCCGTTGAGTTCGGTCGCATATCCAGGTAGTGTTTGAGCTTTGTATATTGAATAGGTACTGTAGTTTTGCTGGTGCAGTTAAAACTGAAATAAGCGACGACGTTGAAATTTATGGACAAAAGAGACAAATCATTAGTCAATTTAAGATGCTTTCCTAATCTTACTGTGGATAGTGCCGTGCTTGGTGAACCGTTTTTCCAAATCCACAAATTTGCTAAGGTCACAAAATCTGAGGACGCCTTGTGCAATGTGCAGTCTGCTTATCTGCCAAGTCGTTTTTTGTCACTTGGCCTGAAAGATTCGCGGTTTTCTCGATGGCAAATGGCTGTTGCCTGTTCGACGGTAGAGGAAATGCTGCTACTTGTCGGACGGTACCTAAATAAAAACAACATTCTCCTATTTTCATTTTGTATTGAACCCACGCTTCATAATTGCACTCGGTATAAATGCACCGCCCTGGTGCTCCACATTTCAACCCATAATCTTCACCGAATTCCACTCTGAATACACAATGTTAACAAGAAAATATTTAACACGATCTAGCCCATACCGTAGAGGATCGGCCCACCGCTCGGTACGTCCGTCATTTTAGATCAGTGTATGTACCGCTGGCCAACCCAGGCCAGGTCAAAGGGCTACTCACTCCGATATTCCATTATGTCCAACATGCAAGGGCACCTAATCAGATGCGACTGACCTGAACCTGACCTTATAATATCAAGTGGCAGTGTATTATAAGGGTACTGAACCGCTGATTGTCCGAGGTCAGGTCACGGGCAATCTAGCCACTGCTCCATCGTATCCAGCACCGGAGGACGCCGGACCGCTAACCCAGGTCAGGCGAGTTCACAGGTCACTCACTCAGCCCGCCGGCTAACCCAGGTTAGGTCACTCCGTTCGCCGACGTACCCAGGTTAGGTTACAGGTCACTCAGCCCACTGTCTGACCCAGGTCAGGTCACTGGGTCACCCAGCCCACTGTCTGACCCAGGTCAGGCCACGGGTCACTCGGTCCGCTGGCTGACCCAGGCCAGGTCACTTGGTCCGCTGACTGACCCAGGCCAGGTCACTCGGCGCGTTTCTCCAGCGTGTCGAGCACCTGCCGACTGTGCGCGGTGGCCCGGTCGGCCAGCTGGCGCGCCTCCTGCAGCGTCTGCTCCCGGAACGCGACGTCCTCGGTCTCCTTCAGGTTGATGGAGACGTTGTGGAAGGCGCCCCAGGAGGCCGTCTCCAAGCACCGCGCCGCCACCTGTCAACCCCAGACCCGACCCCGGTCACGGTCACGGTCACAAAGGGTTCCGGAATTAGGCACCACACGTAACAGATGAGTTACCGAACCTCTTCCGAATGTCCGTTTATACCAGGTGGCGGCAGGTGCTCACTGGGACTCTCCTTCGGGTTGATCAGGTATTTATGACACGGTGGCTCGGCAGTTGCCGTCTCATGGCCGATCCCTCTATTATATGATCTCTGACACGACATCATCACACAGATATAATTTCTCTGGAGGTATCTCCATATTTGGTAATTGGTATGCATGTTTGCTGTAGCCGCCTGTACCCATGGCTGACTTGCAGGTGGGACCTGGTGGCGATGTTACTGACCTGCAGGTCCGACTTGGTGGTGCTAAGACTGACCTGCAGGTCCGACTTGGTGGTGCTAAGACTGACCTGCAGGTCCGACTTGGTGGTGCTAAGACTGACCTGCAGGTCCGACTTGGTGGTGCTAAGACTGACCTGCAGGTCCGACTTGGTGGTGCTAAGACTGACCTGCAGGTCCGACTTGGTGGTGCTAAGACTGACCTGCAGGTCGGATTTGGTGGCGATGTTGCCGAGCGGCGCCAGCTCGGAGAGCGGCTCCCAGAGTCGGTCCACGCGCCGCTGCAGGCCCAGCGGCACGGCAACTGCTGAGCGGAGACCCGCCTGCAGCGCCGCCTGGCGAGCGGCCGTCTCCTCCTCGGTGGCGCGCGGCAGCTTCAGCGCCGCCTGTCGGTACATACCGAGACACAGTCAGACTGGACCCAACGTGACAGCTTCAGCGCTGCCTGTCTGAATCGGACAATGGTCAGACCAAAGTTTCACAATTTTCACAATTTTCACTGTGCCCCGACCAAATTTTCACAGAGCACCGGACGAGGTCAAACTCAAGCTGGACCTCGAATCACTGGGCTGACACTTACCGAATAACAGTTAAACCAGCCATCGACCCAGCAGTTCCCAGTCAAACCAGACCCAGACGCACGACACCTGATCCCGTCTGTCTCAGTAGAACCAAATCGTATCGAAACAGTCGTAACGAGCCTGGGTCGATCTGACCGCGACTCGACCAATCGGTCGCCAAACCACCCACCCACCCCTGTGACAGCGTTACGCTGTGCACCGTTCGCGATCTGTAATCGTCTCGGCTCACTCACCATGTAGTCGCCGAAAGCGGCCGTGTCGTCGTCCACGGCCCTCACCAGCTCGTCGACCTCGTGGTGGAACACGGGGATGAGCCGGCGCATCTCAGAGTCCAGGTGCTCCCACTGGCGCTTTCCGTACGTCATCTTACCGACCATGCTGGCCAGACCCGCCCCCTGGCGGATAACGACAGCGGGGGAGGGGGAGAGTTCACAAAGTCGGATACGGTCAATGGCTTAGTGAGATGGATGAAGATACATTACTGGGAGGAGTGTGAAGTGTCAAGGTTGTGGGTTTCAAGCTCGGGTTTTGTTGCCAAAGTGTTTGTCATTGGTGATACAGTTTATGAAGGATGCAGTTACGGTCCCACGGATGGGGTGGTCTGAGGTCGGTGTAAATCTGAGTTGTGAGCTGTGATTCCGGATGCAGAGACTGGAGACTGGGGAATGGATTACTGTATGTCTGTGGTGCATGTTTGGCTGTGACGCGTAGTCCTGGACGGCTGAGGCCGGCCTTTGCATGACTGTAATCAGGGCACTGCTGTAATGTAGAAGTATGCATACATGTAGGTCAGTTTGTGGTAAACATGTGTCTGTGACGTGCGATTCCAGGCACCCGGCGAGACCAGTGTCTGTATATCTGGCCGTGACGTGCAGGCTCGGGTGGGGTGAGATCAGTGTATGTCTGGCTGTGACGTGCAGTCAATGTCTTGTCATGACCGCCACACCGTCCGCGTCATCCCCCTCCCTGCACGGATGGGGGTGTCGGGGGCGGACATTGAGATGAGATCACCGCTCAGGCGCTGTGCGACAGCTGCTCTGACCAGAAGTGACAGTTGCAGTTGTCGCTATTGAATCTGTCCGGCAGCCCGGGCAGCCCACACCCGTCCACTTATTAAGGTGACGACTGACGACACCTCCCAAATGCTGATTGACGCAACGTCACATTTGGGTATTTTATTCACCATTCTCGCTTTCCCATGCAACTCATACTATCGTTGTTAAAGCAAAGGAGCTCTGATAACTGTAGAAATATCTGTCATCTGAAGATTGGCTCAAGATAGTGCACTAAATAATTCCACATCTATGATCCACTGAGGTGACTCACCAGAGCTGCGCAGAGGGCGGCGACCGAGCCGCCCCCTGGAGCGGCGCTGCGTGCTGCCACCTCTCGGACAAACTGGGAAACTGGCAGGGCGGCCAGCCGGCCGCCGCTCGCCGGCGGAAGGCAGTACTCGATGATCCGTTTACTGCCGGGAGGGACTGAGATCAGTGTCGGGCGAGCCTGCTGAGGGGCGAGGGAGGGGAGGGGGTGCTCCGGGCGGACTGACCTCTATCCGACAACGATATTGACCACCGGCATCGACACTGAGACTGGCGCTAACAAAACACACACGACCATGAACAATAACATCAAACTCAAACTGCCATCGTAATCCGGAGAACGGCTACCCCACTTTGGTATCGTCACGACCAGGGACAAAGCCTCGTCGGTGGAAGATTTTTGGCTGAGAGCTGCGGCGTAAATGTATGTAGAGAGCTAAGCGTTGGCGCAGAAGAAACTGGCGCTCTTTGACAGGCCATCACACAACTTTGCCCGACCAGAGCCAGAAACATTCGAACAAATGTGGCGTCAGAACGGCTTCGGTCATCGGTCATTTGGGTCGAGTCTCCGATATTCGGGATGGTGGCGCTGTGGGTCACTGAAGATCGCGCCAAGTTAAACGTACAGCATCAGAGAGCGGGGATGGCTCTGGATATCACACGATATATGTGCGCTCTTACATAGGGCAGGTCGCGTAGGTGCCAGAGGTACTGAGCTGCTTGCTATCCAGGGTCCAAGGTCATCTTAGCTTCAGCTGTACTCTTCATCTATGTTCCAAATCTTCCCGACTTTTTGCTTTTCGTATCAGTTTAGGTACGTATTTTCACTTAGAGCCTTCCGATTTTTACCCGAATGTTTATCTGCCACGGCTTTTGGTCAACTGATTCTACGCCAGTGAACTGTTCACAATCATGCTGCTTTTTATCGGCCTCACAGAAAGACATATTTTACAAATATCATTTGATCTAAAGAAGGTCGACCACTAGACATAAGTTGTCGATTCGAGGCGAACTTTGAACAATTGTAAATTTATGGATTCGTTTCATTTGAATGGTTTGTCCGATATGCCAGAATCATTACGTGCGTGTTTCATAGGTATTGCCGTTTCGTAATCGTGAGTATGGAACGCTCCAAAGCAGCTCAATCAGTCTTCACATGAGCCGGTCTAACGTAAACTTTGTTCTTGATATTGCCTTGGGCCGGAATAACATAGCCGGCATTTAAGTAAAGTAAAACGAAGATCTGGCTAATTGCCAGCTTGTAACTTTCCCAATACCCCGGAAGTAAAATTAAAAAAAGCGCTGCAGTTATGATGATTGCTTTGTTTAATAATTCTGCCATCATCAGTCACGTTGCGCAGTGCCTAGTCTGATTAACTGGCCTTGTAAGTGACACAGTTTATACTCGATTTTTTCACGTCATTCGTGGACACATGCAATGTGCAGAGGGAGATGGACATTGCAAAAAGCAGCGGTGTTGTTTTTAGCCGTGCTCCAAAACACGCGAACAGGGGAGACGTTCATGCACGACCCCTCTGCGAGCAGGGCGCGGATAAAACTCAGTGACATCGGGAACTATTTTGTTTTTTGACTTGCACCAGATGCCAGGGTGGAAGTTTATTTAGAGCTCCTCGTACAGTTGCTTCCTGCTAGCCCTTCCAGCCAAGCATGACCAGTCGGCGGTTTTTCCACCCTCACCCCGCTTGATTGGCCGCCGGCTGCCCTGGCTGCGCTAATGAACACTGCAGGATGGGATCGGGGGGGGGGGGGGGGGTATCGGGTACTCACTCTGGGTCGAACGGAGAGACTGAGCTGAGACCGAGCCGCTCCACGGCCAGCCGGACCTTCTGCCGCTCCTCCAGGATAAACAGGTTCTCCTGTAGACGGGCGTATGAACACGAGGGTCAGCGTGGGCAGCTCTGCACGCGGCAGCGGGACAAATGTGAAAAATAAAACATATCACTGCGACAACGTGGTGTCACAGCTGATATACTTAACTCTGTATACCTGGATTTTGATGCCTTCGATTGTCCGGTTCCAAATTTATTGTTTGGGTAAAGACAAACCGATGCCCCTTACCCATCTCATGGTTTCATTGAAGAAGCGACTCCCATGATAACTCTCTCTGAGTCATCCACTGTTTCCGCAGCAAAGGTCGGTCTAGCTACTCTTCATACAAGTCACCGTTTTACATAATCTACGAGTTTGGCTAGAAACAGACTGATAATACTCATACACCCACTCGAGCTATCAGGGTGCGACTGCGGTGGTCCTTCAACCTCACTTATTTTTTTCTCACTTTGTTGTGTCACTGACTCACCCGCTGTATGTAGAAGTCGGCAGCCTGTAGGAGAGCGTCCAGGGGGAGTAGGCCGACCACCTCCGAGCCGGCCACGGCCAGCTTCAGCGCCGCCGCGTCCGTCTTACACTGCAAAAGACACAGACAGCGTAAAATCAACCAGTTTCAGCGCCGCCGCGTCCGTCTTACACTGCAAAGGACACAGATCCGTGACACACGCACAAATACCTACAGACAATGTTAAGCCGGCGTCTTTCAGCGCGACGTCGCTCATTTTACACTGAGAAGACACATACGTAATCATTCATAATAATTTGTGCAATGTGCATGTGCCGTAATCAGTGCACTGATCAGACTCACTGAGCATTGAGCAATGACTCACAATTTGTATCTGTTACATCTGTCTGTCGGTAGACTGGCCCGATACCGACGGCCGACGGGTACACGCACCTCCTCGAAGGCGACGTGCAGCGGTGTGACCTGATAGTCGGTCAGGTTGATGGAGACCTGGGCAATGTCGGCCTCATCTAGATACCAGCCGATGGCCTGGCAGCAGCGCAGACGGCCGGGCGAGCTCGGCCCGCGACCTCCCTCACGGATGTTCAGCGCGATCCTGGCCAGAACGACTTACATATAACACACATACTATACAGTATACATTCCTACAATACATGCAATCACATCGCGCTGGTCGTTTCCGATTGGAACGCGACATGCTGGCTGCCAAAGCGATCGAGCGCCGCTTTAGCTTCGTTTCTATTAACTGGGCAGTAATGCGACTTGTGATTTATTCCATTTGGTATGCAGATGAAATGCAGTCTCACCCTGTTATCCACAGAGCAGCAACAGCGTCCAATGTCACTCACTGTGCGATAATTAGATCAGAGAAATCATCAGACAGCGATGGGAAATGCAGTGCAATAACGGTCATGCCGTCATATGTGTGACCCTTGCGATCGGTAAGCAAAAGGGTGATCTGAACGTTCCCTTTAGACTGGTGATTGTTGAAGATAGACACATTCGTCCATCGAGCTCCGCTAACCTGTGCGCCTGCTCCTTGGTGCCGAGGATGTTGACATTGTACGCGATGAGGAACTTTCGGACGCCGGTGACGGTGGCGCCCCATTTCGGTACGAACTGGGCGGGCCCGAAGTCGGGCGCCCACCGCTCGTCCTGCAGTCGGTCAGAGAGAGCCTCGTACTCCCCGGCGCGGATCTGCGGCATGGTGCGCCGGTACTCGCCGCGGCTGCAGGCCGCTCCGTACAGGAACACCGGCACGCCCAGCTCTGCGGCCAGCCGCTCACCGAATCTGCAGACACACGCGCGCCTCATGGTTTTACGATGGTCATATACACGCAGTTTTATTGTCTTCATATCCTCCATCTGAATGTTAACCATGGCTCGTCAGTCGATCCTTATTACTTCTCCGCATGCTTCTCATCGTAACTTTCGGTCAGTTTGTAGGGGAGTATCGTAAACTTTCCAGAATTATGCACTATGCAGCATATATGGATAATGCGTGTATAGTTTGCTGACCGTTTGGAACACTGGATGCACTCGTCCTCAGTCACTCCTCTGACCGGGATGAAAGGGCACACGTCCAGGGCTCCCATCCGCGGGTGTTTACCTGGAAACAAGGCAGCAGACTTCGTCAGAGGAGCCGATACACTCCACTAGGCTAGGGGTGGTATCTTTGTATGGTGATGTTTTAAAAGGATTCGAGAAAACGGAGAGTTGGATTCTGGCGTTAAAATCACTATAGCAGCATCTGCTGCTTCAAGAACATACATTACGAAACAAGTGGTGTGTTCATATCACATTAATTGATTGTTCTCCTAACACGATCATTAGGTACTGGTCGAAGCATTCACACTATGTATTTGATGTTTGGACTGGTCATAGGGCTCCCCTGCGAGCCGCAGTGTCTTTCCGAGCCCCCCTCCCCCGATCCGGGCGGCCGCAGAGCCGCCGGCGCCGATGACGGCCGCTGACGGGCCGATGTGTGTGTGTCGCTCTGTCGGTGGCTGGCTGGTGCTGTGATCGATGCGCACCGTCCGTGATTGAGTGACTCTCAGCGCTGCTCTCTGCCGGCGAGTCCGACAAAACAGCGCGCATTACCGACCACTCCTGGAGGCGACCCGCCCTCCGCAGACGGATGGTCGGCTGTGCCCAACGGCATACATCACCCACCGCCCATGGAATTCATGACCGCTCAGAATTTATCGTTACTTGTTTGAAGCAAATGCATGCATGAATATTGCATATGTCATGATGCCTAATACATTCCTTCAGCCAGCTGGAGTTTCGTGTTCTTTAGCTGACGAGTTACATCACATGCTCCCCACAGAGTTCCATTTGCTTGGAGCAGATGCGCTGACCTTGCAGTGGTCTCTGCAGAAACGGGCGTGTCGGACAAAAGGATCTGGCGATTGTTCTGACGCATATAAGTAATGGGGAAGTCGCGAGCGATTTGAACAGCGATTTCAGCAGTGACGTGTATAAAGGAGGCGGCTTGGAAGTTTGGAACATGGGAAATATAATCAAATTGGGGATGGAATTGAAGGGAGATCGCATTACTTCTGGAGATCAGCGAGTGGTTGTTGGCACCGTCCTGGATCGACGCTCCCGCCTGTTGACTTTATCCAGGACGGTTCCAGGGGGCAGCTGGTGCATATGCCCCCCGCAGTGACCGAAATTCATTAAAATTTGCCGTTTCCCTCGCAACAAAAGTAAACGACTTTTCATAGCAAATGTCTGTTTTGCTACAAACATTGATATTTTCGTCGTGTCTATGGAAAACTCTTTCAATCATTGTGATCATGTCAAGCTGAGAGTGAAATAATACGCAAGGCTTTCATTCCTTTTTATCCGTTGACATTGAACGTCGTAAAAAGGTCATATAGAAAAAATCATTTTCAGTTTACCACGTAAAAAGGTAAACAGAAAATTGATAAACCACAGACAGACCGACAGACCGACAAGTTAACGATAAACAGACAGATAAGACAGACGGACGGACAGACAAACAGGCAATAGAATAGGCAGACAAACAGACAGACCGACAGATAGACCGACAGATGGACCGACAGACAGACAGACAGACAGACAGACAAACCGACAGATGAACCGACAAACAGATAGACAGGCAGATGGACAGACGGACAGACGGACAGACGGACAGACAGACAGTTGGTCAGCCAATCCGGCAGACCTTCATACCGACAGACAGACCGGCAGACCAACAGACCAACAAACAAACATACAGACCGCCTTACAGACAGATCGACAGTTCGCCGAATCGGCAGACCGACAGACCAATAGACAGACAGGCAGACCGATAAACAAACATACAGACGGACAGACCAACATACCGACAGACCGACAGGATAATAAACAAACAGACCAACAGACCAACAGACATTCAGACCGACAGACCGACAGACCAACAGGGTCAGTGTCGGAGCGCGGCCGCGGCCGCGGCCACGTCACCGCCGCCTCCGCCGCCAGCCGCCGTCGCGACCCACTATTGATTGTCCGAATCAGCTTCCCAGAAGCGGGTCCTTGCTCTGGTCTCGGTGGGTCGGGGGAGCAGGGAGGGGTGTGGTCACAGGGGACAGTCAGCCTGGCGGCCCGGGACCAGGCAGCGACACACATCGGCAGGCGACCAACACCGCAGGCCGGGGATACCTAAACACAGACACAGACAAATGCATTACCCGTATGTTCTTTCTTATACGTTTATCGTCGAAAAAGCAAGCATGTTTTACCTTCGCTAATCGCTTGTGCGCTGTGAACTGTGCAGTGTGCACTGTGCAGCCTTCGCTTGAACAACTATCGTGGGCACTGGGCACATCTTCAAGAACAGCATTCATGACACTGGCTCTCAAAAGTCTGAATACCCTGGCCGGAGTCCGAGTTAAAGGATTTAATCCATGCGGTTAGTGTCGCATCAACAGTGCATTTAATTCACGACCGTTTAAGTGTAACGGGGCAGCCTGAAGTGTAGATAAGAAGAAAGTAAGGAGTAGGCTGGCTTACTCTGTAATGCATTCGGATCACATTTCAGACATATTGCTTATGATGACTGTATTAATCTCGGCGATGCCAGCATTTGAGCCGGCCAGTACTCGTATGTTACTGACCAACAAGCACCCAAATCTATAAAGGACCTTTTAGTATTTAGTGGATGAGATGACGGTCTCATGACTAGGCGGTAGTTGGTTCAATCAGCGGGGGAGGCTTCAGGATGGCCGCTCCACTTAGGTACAAGTACAACCATCAATCATGAATTTTTATCTTCCTATTTAAAGCTATGATAGTTATGCAGGAGCTGGATAATGCATCGATTGGGGAAATTGCAGTTTTACGTAACACACGGCTTGAAATCCGAGCGCGAGGCTGCAGGTTGTGCACCACAAGGCAGCCACCAGTAGGTCGACATCATCTTGGTAATATCCTACTCTTTACCCGTGAGCTCCAGTATTATCGTCTCTGGATGGATACCCACACGACGCACGTTCAATTCACAATAATATCCGACAGTCCAGTACCTTGAGGTCATCACCACCAGATTTGGTGCCATCAAATTAATCCTGCATTGTCCCGCAACATCAGGTGATCTGGATCTGGTGCCTTCTGGCCATTTTCATCAGACGCGAGTCGGTACCGTCGTGTCCGGCGCCAGGTCTGGTATGTCCCCCTATGGCTGACCTTTGTGCCGTGTCATGTCGATGAGCCGGGCGGCGGCGCGCGCCCCGTTCAGCGCCCCCTCCACCACCGACTGCGGGTCGCCCACGAACGTGACCACGGTGCGGTTGGTGGAGCGGCCTGGATCCACGTCCAGCAGAGTGACGCCGGCGGTGCCCGAGATGGCTGACGAGATGGCGTCGATGACCTGCGGGACGGCGCGTGTCAGACCGCAGCCTTCAGCAGTCGACCATGAAACTATAGCTCATTTATTTACCTCTCTATAGACGGACATGCAGTTTGCTGATCGAATCGGTAAAATAGTCGAGGAAATGGGTCATTGTCTAAGCAGATAAGCACTCATCATCTGAAACTGTTTGCAAGAAATAATCAGTCGAAAAGGTTGTCGGAAAAGTAGCACTATAGCAACAAATAAGCGATTTGGCTTATCTCTTTGCCATAATAATAGCGAAGTTTTTGTACGGATTCAGTGGGGAACAAAATAATATTTCATCCATGGAAAGATCTCGCGCGGGTTCGAGCACTGGTACGCGTGTGTAACTGACTCACCTTCTGGTCCCGCCCCTCGGAGAAGTTCGGAACGCATTCCACGATCTTGCTCATGGCGGCTGCTGTAGTGTCGCACACCGTCTAACCTGCACGGGACCGGTGAACTGCGTCCGCTCTCTGCCCGTCCGCCACCGAGCCAGGCGCATAATCAGCCAGCGAGCCCCTCTCCGGACCAGGACCAATCGCGTCGCCAGCTCGCTCAGACGCGCACATGATTCAAGCCACATTACCATTACTTGACAGGCTCTCGCGTAAATCATCTTATTACCTTGAAGCATGTAAAATTTATAATGGTTATTTGTTGTACACAGAAGGCTAGTTAGCGAAAATACCGCTTGCCCAGGTAGATAAAAGGCCCTAGTTCGCCCCTCGTTTGGGCAGTGGCGTGGAGCCGCCACTGTCCGTATTTGGACGAGCGCCGGCCATCTGGAGGAGGTGTGGGCTCGGTGCCTCCAGCTGCCCAGTGATTGGTTCCGTGGCGACCAGACCCCGCTCCGCCGCGGACACCTCCCCCCCTCTCAGCGCGACTGTTTATCCACAGTTTCGGGGTGTTTCTTGGAATCGAGACAAGAGCATGCGATTTACAAACTCCGCTCGTAATGAACAACTTATACATAATTATGCGTACAACATCCGACTTTTAGGTCTTGAGTCAACCGGAGACCATTGAGGTCAGGTCAGATAGGTACTAGGTAGGTACTTCGAGATGGGGTGTCGTTTTTTGCGAATAATTTGGCCAAATATGATCGTAGTGCTGCGACTTGGACATTATCGTGTTTGTCATGCTCAGGCGCGTTGGATTACTTTTCGTTTGAATGAGGTCAGCCTACGGTGCTGACCTCAGGTCATATCCACAATTTCGGGTGTTTCTTGGAATCGAGACTTGAGCATGTGATTTACCAACTCCGTTCGTAATGAACCACTTATAATTATGCGTACAACATCCGATTTTTAGGTCTTGAGTCAACCGGAGACCATTGAGGTCAGGTCAGGTAGGTAGGTAGGTACTTCGAGATGGGGTGTCATTTTTTTGCGAATAATTTGGCCAAATATGATCGTAGTGCTGCGACTTGGACATTATCGTGTTTATCATGCTCAGGCGCGTTGGATGATCTACTTTTCGTTTGAATGAGGTCAGCCTACGGTGCTGACCTCAGGTCAAGGCCAGGTCAAAGTCTGGTCACAGAACTGATCAAAGCAGGCTATATTGCATATCGTTCGATTCGGCAGGCCTTCTGGAGTCCACTGGTAGCATTTCCGATTTAATAGCTTTTTGATCTGGAGTTATTGACGAAAAACTCCGATAGCCGTAGTGACGATGACGTTGCCACAAGGTCAGCAGTGAGAAAACTAAGCATCGGGCCTTGCAGGGAGTGTATGGCCGTATGATTTCATTTACCTGAGGTAAATGAAATCATACGGCGGTAAATGAAATCATTTCCGACGCCAACATTACGGTTTCTACCTATATTCTCAACATTTACTTATAATGATGAGGTCACGTGATCGACCTGAGCTCAGGTGGCCTCAAGAAAAAAATCTGAGGTATACGAGTTTTGGGTTTTGAGAGGCCCCAAAGCCTTGTAAGTTTGAAATATCCCCTGGCATTGAAGTCGTTGCAAAGATGCGACATTTTAGAGCTGCGCGCAGGCTCACTCATGACGTCGAAGTTCAGTGACCTGACCTGCAAATACAATGGGCGTCACAAGATACGGCTTGAAACAAAGGTCTGCTGCCAACTTACAGCTCACTTTCGCCAGCCCGTTCCGAGCAATCGCAAAAAAGTAGGGGGGGGGGCGGCACCCGCCCCTCGCGGCCGCGGGGCGCGGAGCTCGCAGTTTATCGTCGTAGTGACCCCAGGTCAACATTTTGATCCCCAAAGTATCGAAGTATGGAATAAACTTTCTTTAGACGATCATTCTATTGTTATAACCAGGGTTTCGGAGTCGGAGTCGGAGTCGGAGTCGGAGTCGCCTGGAGTCGTGGTAAGCAGCCAGGAGTCGGAGTCGGAGTCGGAGTCGGTCCAGCTGAGCTGCCTCGACTCCGACTCCGGAAAGTTAACTGAAGTCTAAAATCCGTGCTATCACTTTTCAGTTGTTTTTAACCAGTGGCCCCACGGCAAAATTCGCTTCCGGTGATCACAAATAAGTTATTTTTCACACATCTTGTTTTTGTTCTGAAAAGCTAGCATTGCATCTTACAAATATCAAGTTATGTCATAATTTAGTAGGCAAGCATTTTGTATTGGCGTTTTAACTTCTACTATCCAGTGTCAAAGACTTAATGGCAACTGTATATTTACTTTCTTTTATCGCTCCAAAAAGTGCCTAACACAAACACAGACCGACATGATGGCGATGCCTGTGGTCATGATACGGTCACACTCGTGCTTCTCGGCGGGTTTTCAAGCTGGCCGCCGGCCGCTGGTTTCTAAGCTGATTCAGCTGCGTCCACGCGGGAGAAATGGTGACCGCATGGACGAAACCGGAGCGATCTCCCGGTGCGCGAATAGGATGTCCGGAAAGTTCTGGCGCTTCTTTTGGACGTCGTCTAACGCGCGCTGTGATTATTGGACTTTCAACCAATCACCGCAGATATGACCCCTCGTTCACCTCTCAGCTAAGGGTCGCCATTTTCTGTTTTTCGTTTCCGTTTTCAGTGCTTTCAGTGCTAGGAAGGTATATGTGCGAAGATGCGCTCGTCGCTGAGAGCCCGCGCGCGGGGGCCCGGTGCGGCTTGAACGAGGCGCGAGTTGCAGCGCGATGCGGCGTTTCCCGGCGAACGGTTGAGCAGGCAAAGGTGCATTCCGGACCGGAAATTTCTTAGAAAATATTCTCACTCAGTTACGACCACGGTATGTCAAAGCTGTTGAGACTGAAGCAGCATTTCAGCGGCAATCGAAGAAAATCTGGGGTCTGGTGGACACAAATGTTACATCATCTTCGTCAAGGTCAAATAAATGACTGACAGGCTGGTCCACGAGGGGTTCCTGGACACGACAATCAAGGCGACTTGCCCTAAGGGTCATTTCGCACTTTAACAGCTCCAACAACGCCGCTGCCGTCCAAACCAAACTGACAGAGGAGCTTGGCGGACCAGATCACCGTGGTGAAATGAGATTAGGCCACCTTATTATCCCAGCATTAACCCGTTCGACTAAGGCATGCTACGCGTTTTGCAGAATAAGCTCTAGGCCACCTCTCATCCCAGCCTGGAGTCGCTGAAGACTCGCATCATGACAGCATGTGAGGAGAGGAAATGTCCTGCGTCGTCAAAACCCGCAGGCGTTTCCGCCCTTGCGTCGAGGCCGTCGTCGGCACAGACGGTGGTTACAATGAATGGGCACTTAGCAGAAGCATGTGGCTTGGTGTTCCTGGTCATTGTTTTGTTCTATTGTTGAGTATCTATGGACCAAAGGCATTTATTTTAAAAATGTTGAAAAGCGCCAGGACTTTCCGGACACCCTGTAGATCTAACATGGCACGTCATATCACGCGGAATTTTGGCAGCCACCATTGCCCTTTGTATGAGACCCGGAGTCGGAGTCGGAGTCGGTGTCGGAGTCGGAGTCGGCCAGGAGCTCGGAGTCGGAGTCAGAGTCGGAGTCGGAAGAGCACTACAACGACTCCGAAACCCTGGTTATAACTTTTGATATGATGCTTGCATGCAAACCGATTTTATCATCGTGTTTAGCTCCTAGTGGGGTGCATTGAATGACTGTAGGTATAGGTACCTATTTAGTGCACTTGGAAACTTTTAAGCTTTCGAACACTGTCCCACGAGACTCGGTGCCACTTTTGGTTCTCGAGGGATTGCTAGGGGATTAGGATTTATATATTATATATTTATAGGCATAAATCTTTTTTCGATGCGGTACCTTATTTTATCACAGGTTTAATGCCTTTACTTCGCAACATGTATACATTTTGATATACATGGTGACGATGAATGATGCGCAAAATTTTACGCTAAGCGGTGACAACATAATGTAATTCTCAGGGCATTGTGAGGCGCTTTCTGGGCTTCCATCAGGGCGTTCATGGCTGTCAATTTCGGAGGCCATCCCATAGCCTGTTGTCGCTGCCGACGTTGAATAGTGAACGCGCCCGGTGTCGGCGGCCCCGCTCGTCTCGCTGACACCGTCCCGCCGTTCAGTGTCGCTCCTCTGGTGATGAATATCGATGGGGGACGACCTGGCGTCCTGTGTCGAGGCGGAGCGGGCCGCAGCGCCGGCTGATGGCGGCAGTAGCGCCGTTTGGCACCGCTCTCCGCCCGTCTGGTGAGCCTGCAGCGGCACCGTGTCCTGTGCTCCGGCCCTTATCGAGACTGGCAGCGAGCGGAGACACCGCGCCAGCCGCGCTCAGATCAGAGTGGGCTACCAGAGGTGACAGACGCCACCCACCGATATCACAGGCGACACCCCGACCGATATCACAGGCGATACTCAACACAGAACACACGCGTAAAAGAGCTTTAAAATGTCGAAATCGGGAACACTTTTTGTATGATCTGGTGTTCTTCGTTTTAACAACACTACGGAATGAATTTGAAACCTTTATTTTTCATACCCAGTACCTATACGAGAACAAAACTGTCAAAAAATGACGACCTCGATGTCGTTTTACTAATCGCGTTTATAGTATACCTACTGCTGTGACAGGCTGTATGATCATCAAACACAAACTTTGATGACTGCTGTTTAAATCCTTGTACCAAAGGCAGAATCAGAATGGCGCTATTAGGTTAACAATACTTTTTCGTAATTCGTAACTTCACTTTTATCGCTGACCATATTCCTGGCTGGGCAGTCGAGGATACCCCTGTTTGTGGTTTATGTAACGATGCAGGGAGTCCCCGAGGTCAAGGCTAGGTAAATTAGTATCCTGCTAGAGGGCATTTCTCTGATTCAATTATGCTATTTTAATTCAGCCATTTTCGCTATTCTCTGAGGCTCAAAATGAACGTTTAGAGCCAAATGATGCCTAATGTATTAAATCTGATGGCCAAGAGTTACAAATCAAAAATAATAAGCAAAACATAAGGCTGATATCTTTTAGACGTTTCGACAACAATTTATCAGTAACTAATACAAAATATACCTTAAGTCTCAAATCTCATTTCAAAATGACACCACAATTGTTTTGAAATGTGATTTGTGACTTTGCATTTTGTATCAGTTGCAGTGACGAAGGTACATTGCTGTCGAAACTCGAAACGTCTAGAATATATCATATTTAGATTATAATCATCACTTTTTCTGTAACTCTTGGCCATCGCCTATCATATTTCAAATACCTATATCAAAACAATATTGTACGAATGCCTGATTCATGATGAGCGACCACGAACACTTCATATAAGACCTTTCATTTGTCGAGATTATCTAAGGCCATCTAAGGTCTTATGTATAAAGTTTTTTTTTTAACTGTAGGCACTCCTAGAGAGTCGGAAAACTTTGTTGTCCCTTTCCTAGGTCTATGGATCGTTGTCAATGATTCGTCCAAAGTTCAAATATAAAAATAATATTTGATACAATGGCGGCCCAATCTTACCAATGTACATACCTTCTACCTAAAAAACTTTATACATAAGGCCTTAGATGGCCTTAGATAATCTCGACAAATGAAAGGTCTTATATGAAGTGTTCGTGGTCGCTCATCATGAATCAGGCATTCGTACAATATTGTTTTGATATAGCTATCTATGAAATATGATAGGCGATGGCCAAGAGTTACAGAAAAAGTGATGATTATAATCTAATATGATACCTATATTTTAGACGTTTCGAGTTTCGACAGCAATGTACCTTCGTCAGCAACTGATACAATACCTATATCAAAACAATATTATGCAAATGCCTGATTCATGATGAGCGACCACGGACACTACACATAAGACCTTTCATTTGTCGAGATTATCTAAGGCCATCTATGGTCTTAGGTATATAAGTTTTTTTTTCTAACTGTATGCTCGGAAAATTGTGTTGTCCTTTTCCTAGGTCTATGGATCGTTGTCAACATTCATTCGTCCAAAGTCCAAATATAAAAATAATGTTTGATACAATGGCGGATCCAGAATCGTGGTCTTGGACGCTGCGGGGAAAGAAGGCATAACCCAAAGCAGTTCCTTGGTTTTCGCTTCCTTACGCGTCGGTCGGTGTGCAAATCAAAACACACTCTTTCGATTCGAAAGCTAATCAATGTTCTTTTTATTTGAGGAAAATAAGTTTTTATCCGCGATTTAGGACACTGCGTCGGGGGAGAGCATTTGCCCTAAATTTGATACACACTTCCCTACACCATGTCATTGTACTGGTTCATCAAATATGCAATTGGCTAATTAGATCCATAGGTGCACATGCACAAGCATAGCGCATTACACCGCTAAGGGCACTTGTCTTAGTGAGAAGTGTCCAACTCAGAATAACTCTTGATAAGGTTAACGTTAGGCAACATTGAAGGTTTTCTGGTAATGCACCACTTAAATTCGTAAGTTGTCGTAAATCAATAAGAATTGCACAAAAGATCAAACTTATTGTTGATATGAGGCAGAGTGCTAAGCCGTCGGTGAGGTCGCCAGCGATCTGGCCAGCAGCTTCGACCCGGGGGCGGCTCGGTGGGGAGCGTCGGCGGCGGGGCGGGGAGGACGGGCGGCGGGGCCTCTCGCCTCCGTCTCGCCCGCCGCTGGCCCGGGCCAGACCCGGAATTTCGGCGGTCCGCATCGATCGGCCAGCTAATGTCGGCGCCGCTCGGCCGGCCCGGCGGCGGGTGCCGGCCGCCCGGCAACGGCGCGCCCGCGGCGTCACCGGCGTCATCAGCGGCCGGGACACGGCGCCGGCGGCGGCCCGCGACCCGTGACCGCCCCGTGACACGGCTGCCGTGACAGGTCACGTCTGCAGCTGTTCCGGCGGGCCCGTGCGCGCCGCAGAGTCGGCCCGGCAGATGGCGCTGAGCGCGGCGGCGCGGCCGGAGGAGGAAGGCGGGGGCGGCGGCGGTCCGCAGCAGTCCGCGGCCGACAGTGAGCGGGCGGGCAGCGCGCCGCGCCGCTGCCGACTACTGTTCAGACTGCACTGTTCTGCTGCTCTTCAGAGACGCTCCGCCTGACGAGAGCTCCTCTCCGGTGCGGCCATGGTGCGGCCGCTTCTGCTGCTGCTGGCCGCCGGCCTGGCGCTCGCTGCTCGGACGCCCCAGGTCAGTCCCATGTCACCACATCACAGCAACACTCCCGACAGCTTTCTGAGCCTGCGCTTACCAAAATTGGGACCTCATCAGGTACCGAAGGGCACCTCTCCACTTTGACAGCGGTCAGTCACCCCTCGATAGTCTTACACAATCGCACTCGACCCTTCAAATCCTGCTGCCCTTTCCGGTTATCTCAATGTCATTCTCTTCAGGACGTCGGTATCTTTTGCTGATTTTTACATCACTGTGTCGCCGTTTCATTGTGTTGCAAACCCTATGTGTCATGATCGTCGACCCCTAGCTCTGCCGGGCACGCTGTTGGACCGGAGGGGGGAATGGGGATCGCACCCCCTGGCACCCCCGGTCACCCCAGGGTCACCCCGGGGCGGCGGCGGCGGTGTCCGATTCCAGTGCCGGTCGACGCCGACGGAGCGGCGAGCCGGCGGACCGAACTGGGGTGTTACCGTCCCCGGCCGGCTGAAGTCGCCGGTCGGCCGACCTGGCCGGCGTTATAGAGCTCACACCACACACAGAGCGAGACCAGCAGCTGAAGGGAAAGACGGGGACTAGAAGCTTGGGGACTGAGCGACCTGCAGCTGAGGGACGAATATGATAAGCAGCTTGAGGACAGAGTCAGACCAGCAGCTCGGGAGACCGGTGGTCAGTGATATGTGGGTAGATGACGGCGTTTTAGGCTGAGGGCTGTTCACGGGCCCTGTGTGCGGTCGGACCGCACACAGCCTCCAAGCTCCGCCCACTGCGTCCCTACGTCAGCCTTGCGTCACCGCACACAGCGACCGCTGTGGCCGGTCGGGACTGGCCACAGCGGACCGTCCACCGCACGCAGCCGTGACGTCAGAGCCGCCTACCCATCCCCTACCCCCACGCCTGCTGGACGCACCGCACACACCGCACGCAGCAGTGTGCGGTGCCCGTGAACACCCCGGTCTGTCTCGGACGTTGTAGAGTTGAGAAGCACGCTTAATCTTACACGGGTTGAGTACTTGCTGGGCTATCCATTGAAGTCGAGCTAAGATATAGGTTAGGTATATGCTTTCAGTCACGTCTCATGTGCCACTATACGACGACTTGCAACTTTAGGTACTTCTCTCCATATTTCTTATCGCGTTTCATGGATAAGTAATTTTGTGGGTTGTTTCTACCCTTTCCTTCCATGTTATAATGAACTAATTATCTACCATGCATGTTTATTCGTTACTGTTGAAACGGGCTTATTTGAACGTCATTTTCCCGTACTTTGCAAAATTCGCAACTAACATCTAAAATTATCTAAATTTGTGTTTTGTAGATTAAGAAACTGGCCAGTTGTTATCTCTGTGAAGATTAGATAACGGACCCGGAGGACAGATCAGAGACTGCTGACCAGGACCGGTGTAGGTATCGGCTGTGCCGAGGGACAACTGCTGTCACCCCCACATGTGCTCTGGAAGGCCGGTCATGGCCACTTGTAAAACTATCCGGCCGGCGCAGGACGCAGCACGTCGGCGGATGTATGCCGCCCTGTTCCGCGCTCCAGAAGGACCGCTCCGGTAGGGGCGGCCTCATTTCAGCTTCTGGAAAGATAAGCGACGGCTGACAGGTCGTCATAACACAGTTAAGCATGCTAACACTAATAAACGTCGCCGCTGGGGCGCAGCAGACGGTGACTGCAGGTGGCCGCGCGGGCGATCGGCGACGATAACGCCGGACATCTGGTCTCATGGGGTCAGAAATCACTGCGGAACATTCTTAAACCCAAACACCGCATTGTGAAATCATCGTAACTGTGTGATCTTCATGAATACCCGATTACTTTGAAATTGTCTCTTTATATTTGTGAATAAAAATGCATGTGTGACAACTTGATTGAAATGTGCAATTACGACGCTCTTGTCGCGTCATGTCCCATAAGGTCATAAGCTAGCAGAATCGCTCGCTGGCCATCCCTGGGCAGCTGCAGAGGCTGCAGGTCATCCAGCTGGTGCGCTGGACACCCGGCTGACCGGGTCAAATGGGCCATCACTTCTTGTCAGCACATCATCAGCCGTCGCTCGCTGCCTCGTGTGTTCAGCATGCCTCTCTCGCCTCCCCATTTGTTCTCGTTCAAAGACCGATACATGATGACAGCTCACTTGGAAACTGTTGCCGTTTGTAACACCATATTTGGCTGTGCGCTGGTTAAGTGCCTTTCGTTAGCGGCCATTTGGGGTATGGGCTGGTTTACACCGAGCGGCGGAGTAAATCTCCGCTCACCATTGACTCCAGTGCCGTCGGGAGGTGTAAATGCCACTGGACTGCTGCGACCGACGGACGAGTGGCGATAAAGCCGCGCCCGTCGGCGGGGGCGGCGCTCTCACTGCTCTGCCCCGGGCCGGCGCTCCCATCGCTCTCCCCGCGGGGCGATGATCCGACCGACTGTTCTGCGCGGGGTGGGCCGAGTCACTTCTATACTGCAGTCTGCCCCCGGGTGGGCCGGTGGCACCTATGCGACATGCGTGCGCCTCGGGTCTGAGATAGATCCCAGAGTCCAGTCCCACTAGACGTGACCTGAAGCTTCACACGGTTTAGCACGCGAAACGTTTCATAAATATATCGTGAAAAAATGTGTCTCACTGCAATCCGAAATGCCTACGATGTAGACCCTCTGCCAGCTGATGATATTCATGCCGGGTTAGAGGCCAGAGCTTGCCATGTCTCATGCAGTGGTGCTGCAGCGACTCGAGAGCTTCGTATCAGCCCGTTGTCTTGTTGTCTGTTGTGGATGTTGCTGGGGAATATTGCATCCCTAACCACTCAACCCCGCTGGTTATCAGCTTCTTGACATACCGACTTCTGACTGTTAGTTGCCATCGCACTCGGTCCGCCCGCGCCAACGGCCTTGTTTGGCTATCTGACATCAGTGCCCAGCACGATACGTGGGGCTCGGACCGATGCTGAGCAGTGCTCCGTCTGTGTATTTGTGAGAGATTCCCGCTAACCATGGGATGCCTTGTCCTGGCGGGAGATATCGGTTACTCATGAAGCGATGCGGTATAGAATGCTCTTAGCAAGACGCCTGGCTACATGTCCATGTTGACGACCTTCAGAACTCTCCCGCGTCATTCCGTGGCAGTTCGTTCCGCCGTTTGCCGGGTCACAGCGCGCCGCGCCGCCACGCGCCGACCGCGCAGACCTCAGAGCAGTCCAGGCGCACGATGAATGGGCTCGTCATTAACGATGTAGACTCGGCGGCGGCTCAAATGACGCCGGTCCAGTTTACACCAGTGACTGGACTAAAAGCAGGCCGCGCCGTGCACGGTGCAGCGGCTGTGCACAGCGCCGCCGGCCGTCTGGGGAGCCGCCGTCTGGGCCGGGAGGGCCCGGCGCCAGGTGCCGCCGCCGTGCGCCGCTCCGCGCCGGCCGCCGCCCGCTATGCACACACAGGAAGCGACGGCGGCCCACCCGCCGCTGTGGTGAGAGAGGTTAGCGCCGGCAGGGGAGGGTTGCTGTGCGGCGGCGGGCTCATAGCCGAGATGACGCCGTCGCGTTGGTCAAATGGTAAAAACAAGCCGTCTCGAGATGTGTCGCAACTCTGTCTCTGGAATGATTTGCTGAGGCGTTTGCGGGACTGCAATTGAGTGTCAATCTCTCAGCTCTCGTTTGATGTGGGCGTCGCAATGTAATATTTCTCTAAGCTCTGGTCGGCAGATGCAATACCTAAGGACTCCACCAAGAATAAGTCTGGAATGCCAGCCAATACTTACAACATTGCCATCAAATTTTCTCGGGAGGTCCGGCTTCTGTGACATTTAATCCGATGCCAGAGGAAATGAGATCGGATACCACACTGCAGCGTAGGTATTGACATAAATGATGTCGATGAAAGTGCTGCTGCTCGATTTATCTGCAGGTGATTTAGGCGCTGATGGACCTACTTTACAAGTCTACCACTATAACTTGCAGCATTTATATGTATATACACGGCATCCACACAATTTGTGGCTTTCCGGCGGAGGTTACAATGAAATGAATCAACCTATGATAGTTAGGCATATACCTACTGATCTCAGTGGCGGTCGCAGGGGGGGGGGGGGCATCAGGGCCATGCCCCCCCCCCCCAAAGGCAAATCAGGGGGCCATCATATCATTTGGCCCCCCCCAAACAACCGATGGGCCCCCATGGCCGTATGGGGCCCTGGCCCGTATTCGATTGTCACAAGGCTCGAGAAACCCACGCCAGCTATTAACAGCTCCCATACCAGTCTTTGAGGGTCCTACACTGACCTCTGAGGGCCCTTCAGTGGCGGTCAAGCGTCCACATTGACCGCTGAGGACCCGTATTGACCTCTGAGGGCCCTCCCCTGGCCTTTGAGGGCCCCTAAACCGGCCTCAGGGGCCCAACCGGCGTCTGAGAGCCTCACACCGGCCTCTGGTGGCCTCATTTCTGTCTCTCGAGTCCCAAGACTAGCCTTTAAGTGTCTCTGAGGGCCCCCCGCACTGGATTCTGAAGACCCGATGTCGAGCCAGCATCGGCCTCTGGGGGCCCATCTTGGCCTTTGAGGGCCCTCCGCTGGCCTCTGGGGTCCAACGCCGGCCCATGCCGGTCTTTTAGGGCCCCACACTGACCTCTGAGGGCCCATGCTGGCCTGTAAGGATACACATTAGCCTCTATGGGCCCCACACTGGATTCTGAATACCCGATGCCGGCCTCTAAGGGTCCGCATCGGCCTCTGAAGGCCCATCTTGGCCTTTGAGGGCCCTCTGCTGGCCTCTGGGGTCCAACGCCGGCCAATGCCAGTCTTTTAGGGTCCCATTCTGATCTTTGAGGGCCCCATGCTGGCCTTTGGGATACACATTAGCCTCTATGGGCCCCACACTGGATTCTGAAGACCCGATGCCGGCCTCTAAGGGTCAGCATCGGCTTCTGCGGGCCCATCTTGGCCTTTGAGGGCCTTCTGTTGGCCTCTGGGGTCCAACGCCGGCCCATGCCGGTTTTTTAGGGCCCCACACTGACCTCTGAGGGCCCGTGC